ACAATGGTGACTACTATCGGCAATCACAGCCAGTCGTCCGTTACTTCCTGGCTTCCCTCACCCACGTGCTGCTCTTGTTTATCAACGAAGTACCACAGAGTTCATTAGCTTTGGATTGTCATAGTACAGCGTCTGCACCTGTTCTCTCTTCGCGCGCTATTGTTTCGGCAGCAGTACGCACGCAACGCGTAAAAAAGGGTAAAAAGGGTAAAAAAGGTTTTCTGTGTAAAAAAGGGAGGAATGTATTGTTTCAGTGAGAACTGATGACTTCCAATGCAACATTATGAGGATTTCGTGCGCTGTCAGCTTTATCCAATGACGCTCAGGGTTCCCAGAAAGATTTAAAGATCTCTCGAGTGCTGCTTAAAGGACGAAGAACAGAAATGCAGCTGTGCATTCCCCATTTCAAACATAAGCCAAGTATGAAGTTTCTTGGTAATTGCTGGACAAAGTAGTGAACGATTGGACTCCGTCAATGGGATGGCAAACGAACACCAGGCATGCTTCCGGTTTGATACCCAGAATTCTTCGTTAATGCGCTGCGCAAGCGAAATCAGACACTCAGCTTCCTTCCAGCCCAAATGGTCCAACTATTCTGCCTTCTGAGAGTGTTCAGAAAGCATGTCATTTTAGCATTATTTTGAGGGATACGATAGAGAAGACAGGTGATGAAGGTGATGGCAACATTTCAGTTCGTTTGAGTTTCTCAGCTGCGTGCGCACCATGCTTTAAGAGGTGACGAATAAAACGACAGGTGTTCCTTGAGAAAGCCTGATTCTTCAAAGATCAGAGATGAAGCGGCGCATCGGAGTGATTCATTGTTTATCGCCGAGCTCCAGATAAGCTGAATGTTACAAACACAAGATCCTTGCAGCACCATAAAAGAGAATGCTGGCTAGACCCTCTTGCAGAGACTATTTTTTAGTTAGCTTATTTCGAGCTCCAGAATTTCGAGCTCTAGAGTCGGAGAGAGAGGAAGATAGTACCACTTCTCTCACATTGGAATTCAAAGAGAATCTAGAGCAAGGAGACTATCGTACTGAGCAATCTGCTAGGATCAGAGGATTGGCGATAACTAAAAGGTACAACTGAAGCACTGGAACTTGGGCAAAAGGGGTTCAACGAACCCTATTATTGGACCATACAAAATAAAGTGATATAGTAGTGGTTTTGAGGCGGATGTGGGGTAATGGCAAGTGGTGCGCTAACCGCGCTAACCACACCAAGAGGAAGGTTAGTTTGACAAACTGGCCCCTCTTTCTGATATCAAGGCCCCTTCCAGATGGAGGTGCCTCAATGTAAATCAACTATCATCCTCCATGACTGCCCAATCTCCGAAATTTGGGTTAGAATGTCAACGAAATTCGCCTTCCCAGAACTTTTGAGTAATATCATCTTCCAAAAGGAGTTCCATCCCAGTGCCTACCTCACAGGCGAAAAGATTTTGAGTGCGGCTGCCTGCGGCTCGGATGTCCGGCATTTTCGCGCAAAATAGATGGATTACTGCTAGGGAGATCAATGTGCCGCCAAGTAGGAACTTCTCGTCAAAGAGAGATTCTGATGGAAGAAACTCTAGCGCACCTTCACATATGGGATGGTAAAGGGCAACTGACGCACAAAACTGTTTAAATGAGTAGAGAGATTTTGCGGAGAAGCAGATTTCAAGGGGACCTTAATTTAAAGCAGTTGGCACGAAGTCCCTAAGACGTG